TTATTCCATCTACCTTCTCTTCCTCCTCCCTTATTCCATCTACCTTCCTTCTCCTTATTCATCTACCTCTCTTCTCTCCCTTATTCCATCTACCTTTCTTCTCCTCCCTTATTCCATCTACCTTCTCTTCCTCCTCCCTTATTCCATCTTTTTTTTCCTACCTTCTCTTCCTCCTCCCTTATTCCATCTACCTTCTCTTCCTCCTCCCTAATTCCATCTACCTTCTCTTCCTCCTCCCTAATTCCATCTACCTTCTCTTCCTCCTCCCTTATTCCATCTACTTCTCTTTCCCTCCTTCCTCCTTTCCTCCTAGTTCCATCTACCTTCTCTTCCTCTTCTTCCTTATTCCCCCTCTCTCTCTCTCTCTCTTAATTCTTCATTCCCCGTCTCCTGTCATGCGCGCCACTGACACATTAGTAAACAGCAATCGACACTGCGTCCCAGATGACTGGTATACTGAATAAATTTCACGTCTGTCTCGAGTACTTACCAAAAAAGAAGTCATATTTATGGGTTCTAGCACTGTTCTACTGATATATAGATCTCATTCAGGGGTTCTAATATTTGTTCGTCAGAAGCACTAAAAACTTTCCGGGGTTCTAGCACTGTTCTCCTGATGTACATATCGACCCTTGTAGGTTTAATGCTTCTTTTTGGTTATAATAAAAATCTCCTGGTGTAGAGAACACATTCTGGGGTTCTAATTGTTCTCCAGATGTATACAACACATTCTGGGGTTCAAATTGTTCTCCAGATGTATAGAACACATTCTGGGGTTCAAATTGTTCACCAGATGTATAGAACACATTCTGGGGTTCTAATTGTTCTTCAGATGTATAGAACACATGCTGGGATTCTAACTGTTCTCCAGATATATAGACCACATTCTGGAATTTTAAATGAACGCATTCAAAGGTTCTAAATCTGTTTTCTATGGTTCAGATCGGAACTTGGAGTGACACCCGTGGCTTCCAGACTGTGCCGGTCAAGTACGTTCGTCTGGCCTCTGACCGAGTGCCGGCCAACAAGACTTACGTCGTCACTACGATCTTGGTACGTTCCTTACGTCACTGTGCGTCTGTATAAGGGTTCATAATCCAAGGATCTGGAGCTACCCTTGGATCAAAACTGCTTACCTGTCATTGCACAGACACTGCACAATCCTTATGATATCAGGTTTATAATAATAATAATAATAATAATAATAATACTAACATTTTAATATTAGTATAAATAAGGTGGGTCATTAAGGCTACAATTAATATGCGAACTAGCCTCAGGAATACGCTAGTTACTAAATTAAGGGTGTATGTAAACTGTGCAAACACAGGTAAACACCCGTCAGTGTATATACACTGAAATATACAGTGTATATGAATTGAAAAATGCCAACATTTCAGTATACATATGATGAAAGACAAACACCTTTTGGTATGTACGGTACTGTGAGAGATACGAGTAGGTACTGTACTGTGAGATACATCTATCGTTGTATATATATTTATCGTTGTATATACATTTATCGTTGTATATACATTTATCGTTGTATATACATTTATCGTTGTATATACATTTATCGTTGTATATACATTTATCGTTGTATATACATTTATCGATGTATATACATTTATCGTTGTATATAATTATAAATACCTCATGTGTATACCCTGAGGGATACCCACCTATCCGAGAAAACACTGATATTCACTTCTTTGTATATACTCCTGTATATGTAAATTTCTAGTGAGCCTATTTTTAATTCAACGATGTACATAAAGGTCTTTTAAAGGTCCCCAATAGTGATTTTTTTTATAAATGCGATTGAAAAAGATTATCCAAAATTAAACGGCACATGGAAAAGCCTTCAGAGCATTTTTTCGATCGCATTCATAAAAAATCGCTCTGTATATAGTTTGATTTTTTTGAACGCCTTCATAAGATTAGAATTTAGATTTTTCGGCCGAAATGGAAAGTTGATTGTGCTCCTGATATCTGTCCTGTGGATGGTAGCACTAGAGCATATGGATAGACAAAAAGCCTGTGAACTAGACCACTTATCACAACTTATCATAGGTTTGGGTGACGTACATCTGGATATATATCTACAAATTATTTAAGAGAGCTGACGATAATGGAAATAAGTCAGTTCGTCTGGCTATTTTTGGGTTATCATAGGTAATTTATACACGTGTGTAAACCTTTCCCTCCCCCACCCCCCGTGGTTATTTTGCATATGTTACTATGTGTGATAACTATAATCACCTATATTTGTGTAACTGTGCTGATGTGTACCTGTACCGTAACAACTTAGCTATGTTATACCGAATAGAATGTAAAATGCAAATGCTCATTTTCTGTGATGCTGAGTGAGCGTTTTCTGTGATGCAGGAGAAGCCTTTCATGATGGTGAAGAAAGAGGGCAACTATACTGGAAACGAACGCTATGAAGGCTACGCCAAGGACCTGGCAGACCTTCTCAGCGAGTACCTCAACATTAACT